GATAGAAAACCTTCTCAATTGATAAATAAAATACTTAATTACCTCGAACGTCGGCAATAAGCCTATACATGTAGATGTATATGGCTTATTGCCTCTGTTCTCGGTAATTAACACTTACTTTAATGTTTTAGAGTGGTTGTGAAGTGAACCGTGTGAATGAGAACCACCAGACAGCCCTTTTGTTAGCCGTAGACAAGAAACACCTGGAGGTCATCAAAGAATTACTGGAACACGGTGCCAATACCAACATACAGGATGATGTCGGKGATACACCATTACACACAGCTGTTGCTAACAGTGAGCCTCGGTCTGATGTAAGTCACATGACTATTACCATATTAGGATAATTCCACCTCAGTTTGATGAGTCACCACGTGATTGTGTCATGTCTTTACCTCAAGCCGTACACACTATGACTGTTCTAATGCAAGTCATGTGTTCATTATCACATAAGGATCACTTGCGTCACATGATTTATGGAACTGGCTGTTTTAGGGGACGATATAGATGCCATCTTGGAAATACCTCCCCTAAAACAGCCCCAAAACTTATAAATGGCTAATAAAAATTACTATATATAGACCCCTTGAAGTGATTTCTCAGAGTTATTGTTCTGGGGGACAAAATAATTGGCCTCCTTTTCTTATGTATTGTTTTGTGGCCTAGAAACAATAATCCTTGGGGGACTCAGTCCAAGGGGTCTATTGTAGTTTGGGTACTTTTCATAGCCTAAATGTTGTCCTCACACTGATAAAGACCTATTTTCATAATTACACRACTCACAACCAAGATAACTAGCTATACTGCATGGGGTTGTTGGTTGCATAAAATGTTATAAAAACAGGTGTAATACTCCATTCTGATTTCAGCCTGTCACAATGGACATGGTTCGGCTGTTAGTACAACACGGCGCTGACGCCACAACACGTAATAATGACAACAAGAACTGTCTGGACTTGTGCAGGAATACAGAACTGGCYGAGTTACTGAGAACAGCATCCACTGGGCAGGAAACAGTACAAGAACCTGATGCGTAGGTTTAATGAGACCCTTTAAGCTTCGACACTGTGGTTTTCTATTTCAGACCACATGTCATTCTCTTGAGTACCATTTCTTTATATTCATTAACATCATTACTGAGAACATATCATCAGCAGAATCATAATCAGCAGCATCAAAACCATCAACATCATCCTCATCATCATCACTATCATCACCATCATCATCACCACTATCATCATCACCATCAGCATCATCACCACCATCATCACTACCATCTTCATCACCACCACCCACCATCAGCATCACCATCACCATCATCATCACCACCACCCACCACCACCATCAGCATCATCATCACCATCATCATCACTACCATCTTCATCACCACCACCCACCACCACCATCGGCATCATCATCACCATCATCATCACTACCATCTTCATCACCACCACCCACCATCACCATCACCGTCATCACTATCATCACATTATTTTAACCATCATTTTCAACATCACCATCATCATTTCATCTTTATTCAAAATGCTTGATACAATCCCATAATCAAATACTATTGATTTTCAATTTGGATCCCTCAAACTCCATGTCTTCTCTCTTTTCTGCAGGTCTGATACCGCAAGTCCACCCCAGAAAGACAGTGCCCCTTCTGATTCCATGGCAGCCTCAAATGCATGCCGACTGTGTAACGAGAGAGTAGATTGCCAGTTTCAGCCTTGTGGTCACTCTGTAGTGTGTTACGGCTGCAGTCACATGTTTAAAGCATGTTTTCAATGCAAGGTACTTATGTAATTTATTTATTTATTCTGTGGTGGCCTTGTTGGATGACAGGATTTATTAAACCAAAGATTCCAATGGGCCTTCTGTAGCATATAAGTAACTGCTCCAATCTCCTGCTAGATACCATCACTCAACCCCCACTCTCCCCCCCCCCCCCCCTCACATTATCTACTCTTACAGTCGAGGATTTCTGTTGTTCTGTCATCCAACGTGGATGACCTCCACGTGATATTAAACACTGTCACCCAACTATACCAAGTCACAAAACAMCTGTTTTCAGAGTCAAGTGTCAAAGTTGTTGTGTCCTCCAACATGGCCGACCTCTATCACATATTCTGTACTCCAATAGACCCCCTTGCAGCACATCGGAATTTGGAGGACATCACAATAGGTTATCAATTCTCAAAAGATTGAAATTTCTTTGTTTTTTTCCTCCAAATTGAGCTGCTTTGACRTCATATACAAGGGGTCTATAGAGCAAAACTAATTCCCTCGTGTTTTGGCTACAGGTCGAGGTAGAAAACGTAGTTAAACTCGAACAAGCTGCAGAGAAAGAGTGCGTGGTTTGTTCAGATTTTCCAGCYGAGGTGGTATTTGAACCATGTCAACACAAAGTTGCTTGTACAGGTATGTAATAACCTATAACACCCTACACTACCCCTCCCCTCCAATCTAATCCATTTGTTGGTAAGTATTGGTATAGTCTAGGTGGTATGTCAACATTTTCTATTTTAAAAATTGAAWTTTATTTTATTTTCAAATAAAAAACTTTGCTGATTGGCTAATTTGTTCGCGCTTACAAGGCCACGCAACAAGCCTTAATCCAGGAATTTGCTGTTTTTCTTTGTTCCAGATTGTTCTTTCAGAATGAAAAAGTGTATAGAATGCCAACATAAAATAACGAGAAAGATAGGACCAGGTGAGGCAGATTTGACTTTGATTTATTTTGTTYAAATGATTGKGGCATTTGGACGAAAATCTGTCAARATYGKAACCTGATTATTCTTAGTTGAAGTAATATAATGATGAATATGGATGACTTTTGAGAACTACTCTATCAAGGATTCTCCATTTTAAGCATGTTATCACCAAGAAATTTTAGTCTAAAAGCTAAAAGAACAAATAGGGTTGAGTAAATGACGTTATTTACTCACAATTTAGATGCTTCAATAATTGATAATTTTTTATCTCCATTTTTTACTGTGAAGAAAATATGTTGCTTGGCTACTATCAGGGCCATATATATGTTTAAAAACCAAGTTTTAAGTCATTTCCAATTGTTATCCATGTGCCCCTTTAAATTCATAGCGGCGAAGGGGCACCCTTTAGAGAGACTCACGCCTTATCTTACTCTTAGACGGTTCAGTGATTGAGACCTGCCAAGCAGACAAGTATGGTCGCAATATGGATTCTCTGTTCTATCTTGAAGCTAAAGTACGTGAGATGGAAGAAGCTCAAATATGTCCAATATGTATGGAAAACATGCGAAATGTAGCCTTCCTATGCGGGCACAGCACCTGCGATGAGTGCTGCAAATCTCTCACAGACTGCCCGATGTGTCGCAAACCAATAGATAAAAAGATCACTTTGTTTGGATGAGTTAAAAATAGAGAAAAATTCTTGTAAATTAGTGTTTGATGAATCAAATTCATTTGTAAAAACAAATTCTTTGAAGCTAGAAAGAGAGGATGTTAGGATTGACAAACGGAAGTGAAAATTAACGATAAGAAGTAGATTTTAGGAAATAAGATTCAGGACTTGATTTAATATAAATCCACAAATGTATACGCTCYAATATAGAATTCTCTCTGCATGGTAAAACACACTTTTTGTGATAAAATAAAGAAATCAATGAATAACCAAAAACAATGTACCTGAAATTTTGCTTTTATTATTTATTCCTTTTTTCTCAAACAGTAACTAACATAATAGTATACAATATTTACAAAATATTTACAAGTTATTATACATAGTTACATACAGTTACATAGTTACAGATCATTTTTACTTATTTATTTTTATGAAAAGATAGTATTAAATGCCCAAAATATATAAAACTTGAAAGGTTATTGTGCAGTTGAATAGCTCAGAAAACAGAGCAATGGCTGTAATTTTAACTCTCTGATTTGAGGAATTTGCATTTTTTTAAACAGCAACTTGAATAAGCATAAAGTGTAAATGTTGAAATCTATGTAATATATACAAATTTGAACTATAATAATTTCCTACTACGCGAAATAGCTTGGCAAACAGTGCATCAAGCAAAACGAATGTATTTTAATCACAATATTATGATAAACACAACAGACCAACTTTACTGTTGTTTTAATCTAACTTATTATAACAATGTCTGAAAATATAATTTCAACTAATTTTAACTAT